TTATGGATCTAGTCTTTATGGTCCATTACTAAGGTTTTATGTATCGCTTTTAGTTTTTGAGTTATGATTGAGTTAATTTTCGAAAATTAACAATTTTGATGTTTAATCGGTTTAGAGCTTATAAATAAAAAATTGTAATAATTGGGTTCAATTTTTTTATGGATCTAGTCTTTATGGTCCATTACTAAGGTTTTATGTTTAAAAAATATTTCCCCATCGCCTTTAGTTATTGAGTTATGATTGAGTTAATTTTTGAAAATCAACAATTTTTACATTTAATCGATTTACAGCAGTGGTATCCACTCGAAGGGTGGTCCACTTTTTGATGTTGCCAGGAACTAAGTCTACAACAAGTCTACAACAAGTCTAGTACATCTCGTCAAGGTAGAGCAGAGTTTTCTTTGCAAAGACACCTACTGCAGCCTCATCCCATCTATCGCAAAAAGCTCGATAGGAAATGGAGTTGCTCAGCTTTGATGCTGTATTAAAAGTTAGAAGTACAAACGGTTCAGGGGAGATCGGTGACTTTTTAGCCGCCCATTTCGCCAACCTGTCCGCATGATCGTGTCCCTTATTTCCGATATGTCCTGTCAGCCACTTTATCGTGACGTTGTTATAAACGTTAGCCTCCTCAAGTGATTGCCGACAGGACTTCACTAACGATGATGTAGTTTGATGCCTACTAACCGCCAGCATAGCCTGTCTGCTATTAGTGCAGATTACAACGTTTCTGCCAATTTTTTTGGAGTAGATGGTCACATTGGCTGCTATATCTATAACAGTTATTTCAGCCTGAGCAGTCGTGCAGTACGACCCTAGCGAAGTGGAAAGGTGCAGCTTATTTAGTTCTACCAAGTTTAGTTTTCCCTCCAAAGCCATCAGGTCAATCGGAACGGTATTCGTCACTAGATGTGGCTCTGAACCAGACATGGTACTATCACCAGCGTTCAACAATGCTTGTTTTAGCCTGATTTGTTTGCATATGCATTGTCCAAGGTATTATTAATATTGTATCAATTGTAGCGTCTTAGCTGCAAGCGATCTCAGCTTAATCAAGAAATTGATACATTTCTGGTTTTGACTTCATCCAAAATGGCCTGCAGTCGAAGTGCTGTAGAATATGTTAGTATGTATTGGGTGAATATGGAATTAATTGTAAAGTCTTGGCCGCAAGCGACTTCGGCTTAATCAGGCAATTTCATACATTTCCACTACAATCAGACGAACTCATAGATATACCTCAGTTTAATCTATCAAAATCACACATTCTCTACCATAATTTTAGTCAAAATTACTTCAGTCAAAGGTGTTGCAATGCATGTTGTTTAATTTAGTATGACTGTTGCATTAATTTGTAGCTGTCTTCATCTACAACTTCTTTAAATCGACATTTCTTTTAACAACGTCCTATTCTAATTCTTCGATATTTCCTTTTTCTACTAATACTTCATTTAATATCACCAGGTTTTTAAGTGTTTTCTAGTTTATAACATTTTTTTTCAAAATCTAACACACTGCTAAATATCTTGATGTATGAAGATGGTAGCACCAACTTTCAGATGTAGTCATTGTCACAACAAACTCAAAAAAAATGGAAATAAAAATAAACAATTTATTGTACAAACTTAATATTAACAGTATCGTACACTTCTCGTAATACAATCAACATCATATATTCATCTCAATTAAACATTTCTTCTTAACCATAAAAATTATTTAAAACATTTGATGCTTACTACGCATATCAAAAAAAATAAAAATATACACATATTATTTCAGATGTTTTTCTTGTGAGGTTCCACGTCATCAATCCCACCGGAGGTAATACGAAATCGCACTTCTGCTTCTTCCATGTCGGGACTATCAAAAACTCTTGCAATTCGAACAGATCCCTCAGCATTGCTAAGCGAAATTCTCGAGGTGGAAGCATGAGCAAGAATATTCCCTCCAGTTGGCTTAGTAGTAGCCAATTGATCTTTAGAAAAATTAGAACTGATTTGATTCGTAATCAAAACGGCAATATTAAACTCTTCGCTCATTTTTTGAAGTTTCGACATCATCTGGGCCAGTTTGTGTTGCCGTTCGAAAATTTCCGCGCGTCCACTATAATCAACTCGAAAAGTCGCCATAATTGAGTCGATAATCAATAGTTTGAAAACACCGGCCTCTTCGTGTAATTTTAAACTGACTTGATCTAATAACTCTGATTGATGCTCGGAATTGTATGCACGTGCGTACAAAATATTGTCTAAAACTGTTTCTTGGTTCAAATCGAATCGTTCGGCTATTGAACGTAATCGATTCGGGCGACTATAAAAAGTTAAGGAGAAATTTGATACTGGAGAGAAGGGAAAATAAATTTGACTTACACCATTGTAATAACGTTAAGCTCGTATCATTTAGATCATACATAATGCACAAGTATACAACTCGAGATTTCATGAGGAAAGTCTTAACATAATAGTATTAAAAATTCTAAAATAGCCAAATACATTTTAAAATAGAAAATAAGGAAACACCAAGCTAAATAGAACATTATAATTGGAAACCACTCAATATTCAATACATAGTATGTATTGTACATACCACAAATCCGACGAAATGGAAAACACACAGGGAAATCTACTGGAATTGGTAGGGAGGTATGAAATTAACAATCACCCAAACTGACGTGTTTGAATTAGCAGGTAAATGAACAAGGGTGTCTAATAATAAATATCCCCTCTTCCTCCATGCTTTGGTTTCTTAAATACTGTCAACCTCAAACCCTGTCACATAAAAAATAAGACTTATTTCCCAAAAACCCAAAGATGGATGAGGTACAACAATGGTTACAAGTTAAACTTTGCAATATTCTAGTTCCCTGGTTGTCCCTCCTAACTAAAACAAGCTTAACTTACGTTAACAAGAACTTTTATGAAAATAAAATATTTAAACAAAACATAAATTCGAATTTTAAAGGATACAAAGTATGTTCTGTGTCTATAAAAATAACTTTTCCACCAATATATCCATTAGGACCAGGCATTTGGGTTGTGACACATAATGTATGAGACAATTGAGTTTTTCCTGTACGAAATTCACCAAAAACTTCTGTTATAGACATAGCTTCTATACCACCTCCAATCAGTTTACTGAAAAAAAAAGATAAAAACTTTTTGTTGAATCACTCTAGTTATAAAAATGCACCCCTCTTTTACTATTCTAAGAATTAATCCATATGATAAATTAAACTTACTCAAAAGCTATACTCCCTGTACTCAATTTAAAAACTTGTTTCCTTTGAAATGAAACTTCATTCGCGGTCATAAAACTATTGGAAACCGAAATTTTACAAACGACGCCCTTAATTTCTTTAATTTTCGCCTCATTAAACCCAGGAATTGTTAGTAATTTCTTCATAAGAGTCATTTGCATCCCTTTTATGGTATTTATTCCGTGTTGTTTTAATTTATCAATGTCTTCCTTCTTAACACCATGTTCCGCGAGCATTTCGATGTCTTGAAAGTATACATCCTCCTCTTCCTCTTCATTTTGCTCTATTACGGTGCTTACTTCCGTATTTTCGGCAACAACCTCAGGTAATTGTAGCACATTTTGGCTCATTTTGATGAGATTTTTATTTTATTTTTTGACAAAACAGAAATTTTGGTGCAAAACCTTCATAAACTATGTCAAATTTGAAACAAAAAACTTTTACACCGTGAAGTTAGTTATTAATGAAAAAAAATAAATTAATTTAATTAAAATAACTTAATTAATTAAGTTACATTTTCGTTATATCTTAATTAATGAAATTGTGTTAAAAATGTTTTAAAATTATAAAATGTTATAAATTAATTTTTGCATTGAAATATTTTTGTTAAACTAACAGTTGGCATCACTGATTCGTTTTGATTTATCAACGGCTTTTTTTTAGATAATTAAATCTTTTGACAGATAAATTATCAGTTAAAATATAAATTACCGGTTCGGTTATAATTAGGTTGTGAGTATAAATCGAATAAACATTATAATTTTATTAATTAAAGTAAATTCGGTACGTGGCGATTTCATTTTTGGCGCCCAATCGAGTTGGCCATGCGTTAGTCACGTGACAAAATTTGACAAATGTAACGTGAATCGCGACTGGTCTCATGTTCATGGACGGTAATCGTGCTGTTAGATTGTTGTAAATTAAAGTGAAAAGAACGTTAAGGTAGTCATTCGAAATGGAACCGAGGAAGCTGATCGAACTGCTGAGGGCGACCATCGACCCCAATCAAAGGCAACAGGCGGAGGAACAGCTCGGACAAGTAACCAAGACCATGTGCTCACCTATTTTTTTGACATATTCACATGCCGCTTTTTTTCTAAATGTGTTTTCAGATACATAAAATCATCGGATTTGCACCGTCGTTATTACAAGTGGTTATGATGAATGGGTGTGATATGCCCATTAAACAAGCCGGGGCCATTTACCTTAAAAATCTAATATCACAAAGCTGGCAAGATCGCGAATCGGCAGAACCAGGAGAACCTTTACCTTTTTCTATTCATGAACAAGATCGGAGTCTTATTAGAGAAAGTATAGTAGATGCTGTAGTGCATGCTCCAGAACTTATTCGTCTACAATTATGTACTTGTGTTCATGTTATGGTTAAACATGATTTTCCGGGACGGTGGACCCAAATCGTTGACAAAGTAAGTTAGTTTTAAGGTTAATCTTCTGATAAAAAGGAATTTGTTATAATGATTATTTTATCTACACATATTTTTACTTTGTTAATTTTAATTAATATACGATTTCCGTTAATAAGACTTAAAATTCTTGTATAAGTTTTTATTTAGATTTTAATAACAAAAAAGTATAGAATTATCAAAGGTTAAAGTATTTTAAAACAATTTAATTTTACTTTAAGAGAAATTTTTTTAGCACTTTACAATCCATTTGCCTAAACATAGACCGAAACCCCTCTCAAGTTTATTCTTGATGGGGCGAGAAAAATAAATATTTAACTGGATCCATGAGACCTTGTAAATACTTGGATATATTTAGACTATAACACTCTCTTTCTCTCTTTATCTATCCTATTACTCAGTTTGGTGTGTAAGAATTTAGCGCATTAGAATCCATACATTTTCAAACCTCATGATTCATACAATTAAAATTGGTGTAATTTTTTTGAATCATCTCAAAAAGAATTTCAATTCAAGGTCAATAACATCTATAACCTTTTTTTTTGTATATGGTAAATTAAAAGCAAGTGACAATCGATAGAAGAGTTATTTATACAACAATAATTTTTTTTCAATTAGCACTAAGTTGTTGAGATATTCAACTTTAAATTTTGATGATTGTAAGAGGTGGAAATTTTATTTTAAGAAAGTCTATTTATTTTTTAGTTGATAATTAATGTTTTTTGATTTTCTTTATAGGAAGTATTCCATTATAACCAATATAATTATCACAAATTAATATATATTATTTTTTTTGGGTATATTAATATAATAATATTAATTGTACACTGGGGTCTGTCGCACCTCATTGTTTAAAGGCGTATAAGTGTTAAAATGTGAATTTGTTTATACTGGGTGAGGCATTTAAATTGAGACAATTTCAAAATATAATGGAGGAAAGTATTCTGTATTGCTTTTATTGTATTTTAGATGAGCCATTATTGTCTTTTAACTGTGAAGTAAGTTTTTTAAATGAAAACATATATTTTTTTGATAAGTATGCTCTCCTCCATGCTAAAATAAACAACTTTTATTTAAATTTTTTTTTATTTAGTATGATAAAAATGTCAAATAAATAATTCAAACAAACAGAACATAATGAGCTACAATAAAACTGAATAAAATAACGTATCTCAACGTAATAAGTTTTTAAAGTGATGTCCGTTTGATTTGATGCACATATTTAGATGATAAATAAGATTCAAGTGCTTGTTGTAACATTTCTGGACTTAATTGTCTATACATTTTTACCTCATATTTTCCAATGTTGTTTGCACTTCTTGGTAGACTCTGTCTTTAATGTAACCAAACCACAGAAAAAAAACAAGGGATGTTAGAGCAGGAGACCTAGCAGGCCAATTAATGGAACCACCCCTAATCCACTTATTTCGATAATTCTTATTTGATACTTACTTTACTGATAATTCGTGAATCGGATAATTTGTAAATTTCTCTTCCTTCACGTAATAAAAGTTTTATCTGAAACTTTTTTTTTGATAAAATTGATGGTTTATGAGTTATTAGGTTGTCTCAATTTAAATGCCTAACTTTGTATATTTATTGTAAATATGTTTATTCCGCAAAAATTTCTAAAGCTATCTAAAATGTAATCATAGAATACAGTAATATAGAACATTATATGTCTTGGTTTCTTGTAATACCGCCGAAAGACTCCTACTAATTTAATATTTTACTCATAACTTGCTCATTAAAAAGTTTTTATTTTAACTTTTAAGATTCTTGTGTGTAATTTTTTAACGCAAATGACATTTGTTGATTATTTTAGTTTATTGTCTATCAATCTTCGAGCGGGCGCGCTCGATTTTATAACATCAGTGGCCGCATGTCATAAATTTTTTGCATTAACTTTTTTAAATTTTCAAGCTGTCGAGTCCCTGTTTATAGTAGAGGTCAGACCTGGCGTCTTTTTTGCAGCGGATATTTTATATATTAATTTGAATTAAATTCATTTTCGCATTCTAAACAAATCACATTTATTACAGAATGTTTTTTGCAAGTAAATGATAGACATTTTGAACACTTTATTGACGCTGTTATACGTATTTTCTGTATTATACATAAACGGAAAGTTACACGTTTCGCTGAGGATTTTTCGGTGGTATCCTTTTCTGCTATCGATTGTGAGTAATTGCATTTTAAAATGCTACTACATCCGTTGGTACTGCCTTATTGGTTGTTCTATCATGTAAATAAGGTTTAATCAAACTAAAGGATAGATTTTTTTTTAATTGTGTGGCAGTTTGCTACATTTGTTCGTGAAAACGAATATAAAACATACGCATTTATCGAACCAATATTTAACAAGTTAATAAAGATCACACATAGCCACATTTTAGTAATGCGAGTAATATGTAAGTGGCACACAATTTATCCACTATGTCAACACACATTTTGTCGAATTATAATTTATTATTATTTCTGGCAAATAACATAAGAAATCGATATTTTATTTGTTTGTAATCCAAATAATGTCAAATGAACGACTCGACTTTTATTTGGTAAGAATTCTTATGTGATTTTTCGCTTATTCTTTTATGTTGTTCCAGTCAGTATTATTTCCTTTTGTAGTAGATAAGCTACTAGAGCAACGCTAATATAGTAGTTGTCCGTTTCTGTTAGAATTCTCTAATAATTAGTTCAAATAATCTCTTTACAAAATCCATCGCTTTGTTAGATACCATATATGGACCATCTAGTTGCTTACCACAATAAATTTCTAAATTGAATCATGTTCAAAATACATAGTTACACGAATACCTTGGCGTTAAATCCTTTCAAATACATAACAATATATAATTTAATAATAATTGTTATAAATTTTATGATAGCGCGCACGCTCGAAGGTTAACAACTACTTTGGTGGGCATAGGGCAATTTCCACAAAGAAGACATTTTTAGACTTATTAGTATGGATTTTTTCCAAATTTCTAGATTCTCCTTACCATTGTCGAAATACAACCGCTCTGTAACCTTATAGGGATACCTGTTATATTTTATTATGTTTTTTACGTTAATTTTGTCCATCGCAGTTATCATTGAAGGCATCAATCATAAAATGGGGCAAGATTGATAATTTCATGAAATATTACTTTTCCACGTCGCTGTTATTAACTTTATATTCTCTAACTTATGCCTCAGCACATTATTTTTTCATACATTAACACCTCTCCCGTTAGTTCAGTTAAAGTACAGTTAATATCTTAATTGGGATCATGTTGATTATTTGGTATTTTTCCAAGAACCTTGAGGCGGTTTAAAGAACAACTTTCTATTTTAAAATATCCATTAATCAAAATTTGTTTTATCCTACTTTTGTCACACACCGGATATACTTCATGAATGTTGTCTACAATATCCATTTACTTAAGAACACCTTTAAACAAAACTGGAAACGTTTATTTAGCAACCAGAAACCTGGTTTTGGCATCAATGGACTTGAAATCGTTTGAAATACGACACTTCTAAGGTTAATTCTTAATGGTTCTTTTCTTACCATCTAATTATCTTACATGAGGTAAAATGCTTGTCACAAACCAACATTTCCTACATTTGTTGAGGTAGTGTTCACTTTTATAGGTAATGTATACCCTACATCTTTCTTTTTTCATTCTCAGCCCGTTTCTATCTACACTGTTTAAAACCATTTGTTGCCAATTTTCTGATATTCGCATTGCTTTTGCTCTACTTTTCTCAAAGTAAGGTGTGCATAAACTATTTATCAGTTTGCCCTCTTTGACTTAGCGTCGATACTAATTTTTGCCAGTATCAGGCTAGTATTAAATCGGTTGAGGACATTGACATCCGTGTAAATCTCTTTGCTATTGATAAGGAGGTAGTCGATCTCATTTTTCACCTTGTTGTTTGGGCTTTTCCATGTCCACTTCCTTTGGGGTGGTTTCTTTAAGTGAGTGTTCACACAGAATAGACCTGAGCTCAAGTAATCCAATAGGATTAACTTATTTTTATAAAATGTTCATTTATTACAAACAACAAGATACTCTTATGTTTAGATTATTTTACAACATTAAATCAATATAAATCTAATTTTTTGTTTTTTTTTTATTTATTAGATCAGCATATATCTTTCAAATCCGGAAGCAACAGGATGGCACGGTGCAATTCTTTGCCTTTATCAATTAGTAAAATATTTTGAATACAAAAAAGTGGAAGATCGCGGTCCCTTACACGAAGCAATGAACCTCCTTTTACCCCAACTTTATCAATTGGTAGTTGGCCTTTTACCAGATCCTTCAGAACAAGCAGTTCTTCTTCAAAAAGAAACTTTGAAAGTCTATTTCGCCCTTACGCAATACATCCTTCCTCTTGACCTGATCACTCGGGATGCTTTCACGCAATGGATGGAAGTGTGCAGGCAAATTGTCGAAAGACCCGTACCTCCAGTAGCACTTCAACCAGATGAGGACGATCGTCCTGATTTACCATGGTGGAAATGTAAAAAATGGGCTTTGCATATTTTGTATAGGCTTTTTGAGCGATATGGTTCACCAGGAAATGTTACTAAGGAATATACTGAATTTGCTGATTGGTATTTGCAAACATTTAGCAGCGGAATTTTAGAAGTCTTATTAAGGTAACTTTTACAACATAAAATTTGACAAATATAAAATTTTTTTCATAAAACTGTTGATATACAAATAAGTTTTTCTTTTTAGATTATTAGACGCTTATCGTGGTGGATCTTGGTTACCACCAAGGGTACTTCAACAGTCGTTAAATTACGTTAATCAAGCGGTTTCACACGCACATACATGGCGCTTATTAAAACCTCATATGGGTGCGATTATTCAAGACGTACTTTTCCCACTGTTATGTTACTCTCAGGAAGATGAAGAATTGTGGTCAGTGGACCCTCACGAGTATATTAGAGTGAAATTTGATGTGTTTGAAGATTTCGTATCGCCTGTAACCGCCGCCCAAACACTTTTGCATTCAGCGTGTAAAAAACGGAAAGATATGTTGCAGAAAACTATGCAATTTTTGACTGAGGTAAAATATTGGTATATAAATATTGCAAGATATGAAATGATTTGGAATTTATTTAGGTATTGAATTATCCAAATACAGAACCATCTAAAAAAGATGGTGCTCTTCATATGGTTGGATCCTTGGCTGATGTATTGTTGAAAAAGAAAATTTATCGTGATCAATTGGATCATTTGTTCCTAAAGTACGTTTTTCCGGAATTCCAAAGTGCGCGCGGTCATTTGCGGGCACGCGCTTGTTGGGTGCTTCACTTCTTCAGCGAGTTTTCCTTCAATCAAGAACAGGTTTTGGCTGAAGCAGTCCGTCTCACCGTTACCGCCTTACTTCAAGACAAAGAGTTACCAGTCCGCGTCGAAGCGGCAATATCTTTACAATCATTACTTAATTATCAAGAAAGATCACATAAATACGTCGAACCTCAAGTAAAACAAATCGCCTTGGAATTGTTAACCATTATTAGAGAAACTGAAAATGAAGATGTTACAGGTAACTTGGTTTAAAAAGAAATTTATAAAAATTATTTTCTTTTTGTTTGTTTGTTTAGGTGTTATGCAAAAATTAGTTTGTGTTTTCACAATGCAATTGGCGCCAATTGCAGTAGAAATCTGTCAACACTTGGCAGCCACTTTTAGCCAAGTTCTAGATACGGATGAAGGATCTGATGAAAAGGCGATAACGGCTATGGGATTATTAAACACAATCGAAACTCTCTTAACAGTAATGGAAGAACAACCGGAAGTTCTTCGAATGTTAGAACCAACCGTTTTACAAGTAATCGTCCACGTTTTGCAAAACGAAGTCCAGGAATTTTACGAAGAAATTTTATCACTTATTTACGACTGCACCAGCAAATACATTTCAGCCGATATGTGGCGCGTTTTAGAATTGCTTTATCAGGTTTTCATGAAAAGCGGTGCTGATCATTTTACTGATATGATGCCTTCTTTACACAATTATATCACCGTTGATACAGACGCTTTCCTATCTGACGAACAACGTTTATTAGCTATTTATAATATTTGCAAGGAAGTTCTTTCAAGAGATTTAGGGGAAGATCCTGAAGCACATGCTGCTAAATTATTAGAAGTGGTGTTGTTGCAGTGTAGAGGTAGAATAGATGGAGCGGCACCTTTACTTATTGAATTAGCTGCAGGAAGGTTGTTAAGAAAAGTTAAAACATCAGAATTACGTACCATGCTACTTCAGGTATAAAAAAGAATACTTAATAACTTTACTGTTTGATGATGTTGACTTAAAAACTTTTGTTTCAGGTTCTTATAGCAGCTCTTTACTACAACCCACCACTTCTATTTGGTGTTTTAGAAAAAATGCCTGATTTTTCAAATAATTTTATAAAACAATGGATACACGACGTCGATTGTTTCCTAGGTGTACATGATCGAAAATTATGCGTCCTCGGTCTTTGCACTCTCATAAGTTTGCCTCAGAAGCCACCGGTACTTGTTGAAGTATCTGCGAAAGTAATGCCCGCTGTCGTGATGCTTTTCGATGGTTTGAAAAGAGCGTATGCGGCTCGAGCTCAAGAAATCGACGAAGAAGAAGAAAGCGAAGCAGAAGACGACGATAATGATATTGAGGAAGTACTCAGTTCGGACGAAGACGAGATCGACGAGCAGGGACAGGAATATCTGGAGAGTTTGTCACGTCGGGCGCTAAACGCTGGAGATGCAGCAGGTATGCCTGTGTCTGCTACAATTCAAGACGTAGATCTCGGTTCGGACGATTCCGATACTGACTATGAGGGTGACGAAGAGATGGCGTTGGAGACATACACGACGCCTATTGATGAAGAATCTTGCGATGTGGATGAGTATGTTGTTTTTAAGGAGGTAATGACTCGATTGGAAAGCACAGAAGGTGACTGGTATAAAGCGCTTACTGGAACACTTACTGACGATCAAAGGAAATCATTGATGGAAATTAGTGTTTTGGCAGATCAAAGAAAGGCAGCAAAAGAAAGTAAAAGAATAGAAAAACAAGGAGGTAAATTAAATATTCTACATGGTTTCTTAAATAAAGCCTGGAGCTTATTAAATTAGACTTTATTGTAGTAATAACATATTTTTAATATTAAATGTATCAATAAAAATGGATGTTATATAATTTTTTTTCTGTTATAGGTTATAATTTCACTAATCAACAAGTACCAACGTCCTTTAATTTTGGAAATGCTTCTCTGGGTTCCTGAGCCCCCATTTCATTAGCTACACATAAACACTCATAAAAATATATGTTAATTAAAAATATATATATAATATAAATATTACTATATACAGCGACTGAAATTAATTGTTCAAGTGACGTGATCTTCTACATGGTTTATTGTACAGTGGAAAACACTTGGTGTAGCCTATTTGTGTACGATTGCAATAGTTGTTTTTTTTTCTCTTCAAATTGTTTCTTTTATTTGTAAGTGATTATATTATGTAAGTGCCTTTTTTAATTCGACGATTCTAATACTTTTTAAATCACCGCAGTAAGGTTGACAACGCAAAACATGTTAAAAACGCTCCCCTTTCTTTGTCCTTTTTACAAGAAAACGAATAATAAAATGAATTGTTTAAAATTGTTAGTGAAATATTTTTTTTGATAACCTTTTCTTTATTTATATATTTATTTATTATACCTAATCAAAGTGAAAAACATATTCTAATTTATTTACAGATAAATAAAATAATAAAAATTAATAAAATTTTATTCATATTCATTAATTTGTAATTGTTTAATTAATTTGATTATATCTAATCAAAGTGAAAAACATATTCTAATTTATTTACAGATAAATAAAATAATATTTTATTCATATTCTTTAATTTGTAATTGTTTAATTAATTTAAATGTCTGAATTATAAAAGAAATTTTCAGGAAGAAGTTCCAAGTGTTGAAAATGTATAACAACTTGTGCGCTAAACAACAATAACTAGAATTAACTTAATTCTGTCAGAAGACCTAGAATAAGAAGGCACTAGTTTCAGGTCTAGTTTTAGTTCAATAAAAATGTACAACAATCCAGCTCACTAGAACTAACACTAGACCTAGTGTCAAAAGTGTTTACACAAAGCTAGATTATCCTTGTGGACTTGTAGTCTTTGTGGAAAAAAATGGGTTCTTACCACTGAAAGACTACTGGCTCTATGTGACTGTGGGTAGACCTATAATCAGTAAACTTGGCAATCCAGAAACGAGTAGCTGGATTGGCAATCTCTAGTGTGATAAACAGAACGCCAACTGTAGCCTATATGGATGTTCCCGCCCAAAACTATCATTTACAGGTTGAAGCAATATGCCCAAAACTGATCCGACATGTCCTACCAATGGGCTGCAGAAGACACTTCATAGATAACTACAAGAGACACTATAAGCATTAATATTGTGCTAACAATGTCGTTAGATTTGACGGGATCACTACCACTGATTAATGCTCGATACCAGATTGTACTGCCTGAATGGCAGTTATGGATCGAAAACGAAAATTCTCTGGTTCAAGCAGATATTTGCATGATCACATATGGATCAAAAACGCCGGAAGGGGTCGGATTAAGCAAGCTTACAACCCGCAAAAACTATCAAACAAAATCTATTAAACAAAATTTACCAACTGAGACATACCAAACAAAATAGAACCTAAGCAATTAGTACAATTATTACATGAAATTACTCATAAAGGGTTACAACTCTCATCGTTGCAACGGGTTTTTTTTCAACCAACGATTCTACTTCTCCCTCTTGATTTCGAATCTTTGTGACTGAACCTTTCCACTGGAATCCACGCTAGGAACTCTTACTCTGAACGACCCAACTCTCTTCTGGACCTACAACTCTTCTTTGTTTCTCTCCTCCACTGGATCTGAGAGCTTTCAACTTCTTCAACTCACTTCTTCTCCAAAAACCAACTCCAAATCGACTCGAAACCAACTCGAACTCTTTTTTGTTTCTCTCATCAACAAAAATCCATAACTAAAAACTTCTTTCTGAACTCTCCAAGGAACTCCTCAAAAATAATTCTCTTGGTTTTCTTCCTTTCTGAGATTTTAAACCCTTTCGTTTCGATCGCTCTTAACATAAACAATCGTTTCTATTGGCCGAAAAACTCGGACAGTCGGAAACGTTCCACACTAAACTGAAGTAGGGGCGAAATCATACAGAAAACATTTTTTTAAAAATAATAGAACAAAAATTGGAAATCAAAGAAAAAAATCAATCACTAAATTTTCACCGAACCCGCGGTTCGCTACAGAAATAGCAATCTTGAACACAGTCAAGCCGGTCTCCAGGCGCTGCAGGATGTAAAATTGGTGCCGACTCTGGTTAATGGCTGTAAAAGAACTTTAAACACACTGAGTTGTGATAACAGAGTTTTTTTGATCTGGGTCCCAATTCATTCTGAGGTTGCTGGCATTGAAGCGGCTGATGAGCTAGTACGAGAGGAAAGCGTTTGTGTGGCCAGAGCCAACAGTTGGCTGAAGAGAGAGTTCGTCTATTGCGGATCAGTTCTCCTGGAATGAGACACTCTAAGTTGTTTATCAACATTGCCACTGTCAAACCTAGGAATATTTTAGGACTTGCTCGTAGCAGCATTAATATTCTAATTCCCCGGCTAAATCCCAAAGCACAACGCCAACTCTAGTAATGGATGTTCTGCTTGGCCTATCTCCTTTGCAGTTGCATATAGAGAAAGTGGCTAGAACTACCATTTACAGGTTTTAGCAATATGCTCAAAACTGCTCCGACAAGCCGCTCTCGAATCGCTACAGGCCGTGAAAACGGTGTTGGCTCTGGTTAATAACTGTAACAGAACTTTAAACACCCGTTACTTGTGACAACAGCAGTTTCTCTGATCTGGGTTCCAGATCATTTTGAGGTTGCTGGCAATGAAGCGGCTGATGAGCTAGCACGAGAGGGCAGCGCTAAAGCGTTTGTGGGGCCAGAGCCAGCAGTTGGTATATCATTTGCGATGGTCAAACATAGGAATGGAATAATTCCATCAGCTTAACTGAAGACGCTGGGACCTGAAATTCTAAGAAAAGTTATGGAAAATGCTCTGTCAGGTCGAAGCAAACAATATAACATATTATCTTCAAAACATAATGTTAATTTAAAACATAATTTAATTTTAATAAATGCCAACATTAAATAAGATCAGAAAGAAAAAAGTTATTCATTAAATAAATCATAACCACATCATAACGTTACTTATGCGCCACTCTATACAACGAGGTAAAGTAACATTTTGTATTTTCTAATTTTATCTTTAATTTAATTGTATTTTGAGAAAGTTTAAAACCTTATAGACTCCTGACGATGGTCTAGGCCGAAACCGGTAGAGTTAATAAATTTATAAAATATATTGGAGTATAAACATTGTTTATTTTTAAAAACACATAAAACTATTAACTTATTTAATTATAATTTTTTTTTAATTATTATTATTTCAACATATTTCTATATATTCATAAATTAAATTGTACATAATTTATTATATATTTTAAATTTGGAATTAATTAAAATTATTAAACAAATTTAATCAATACAAACACGTGTGATATTTTAAAATTCCCGCGTTTTAATAAAATGTCCTGATTGGTCGAGTTCAAGTTAGTTTCGAATCCATCTGTTAGAGCGCGCATCTGTCGCTCTTCCTTTTCGTTTCCCGTCATCAAACATGGTAAGTATCAAAAATATCTTATTTAATTTCACGATATATCACTCATCCGTACTTAAAAATGGTATTATTCAATTAAATTATTTACATATCATCTTTACCGCTACGTATTTGTAATCAACTAATACATATTTTTGTTTTCAGGGTATCGACATTAACCATAAACATGACCGCAAGGTTAGGCGCACAGAACCTAAAAGCCAAGATGTTTATTTGCGCCTTTTAGTGAAGGTATGTACAATTTTATTTTTATATGTTATAACATTTAAATCAAACTAAACTTTATTTAAGTAAATTTAAACTATATTGTTTTTAGCTGTATAGATATTTGGCTCGTCGTACAAACTCAAAGTTTAACAGGATCATTTTGAAGCGTTTGTTTATGAGTAAAATCAACAAACCACCAATTTCCTTAGCTAGAATTGTACGTTTTATGAAAAAACCAGGCCGAGAAGGTATGACTGCAGTTGTTGTAGGCACAGTAACCGATGATGCCAGAATTTGGGATGTACCTAATTTGACAGTGTGTGCTCTTCGTGTAACGGAAAAAGCACGTGCTAGAATTTTAAAAGCAGGTATTTATATCCAAAAACAGTTTACACATACATATTTTTTATTATTAATAGTGGTGGAAAGGATATCTGGCAACTTCTTTAAAATCTGGCCAGATTCTAGATAGTTACCAATAAAAACCTATTAGTACTCCATCATTCATAGGGATTAGTATCTTTTTTAGTTGTTAGACATTGCAGATAATAATCAAGTTCAATCCCAATAGCACTTTTTTCATTTAATTACAGATTTTTCATTAGCAACCTCATGGTAACAATCTCAAAAGATATGGATTAAATCTCTTGTTGCAGTTCCTTGTAGTTTTTTTCTCTTCACTTATAATTCATCATCACTTTCAATTTGTGATGCAAGTCTTTCCAATAAAGCATATAAAAGCAATAGCATATATAAAAGCCATCTTCAAGCTTTGTTTGTTAAATCTGCATCAAAAAAAGTTCATTTTGTATCTTGGATTCAAATAAGTGACATAATTGTTCAAATATCACAATAATGTAGCAATGTAGGGTATCACTTTAAAAATGCATGAAAAATTATGGCCAGATAAATATGCTGGATATCCAGTATCCAGCTTTTTGCAAAATCACTATTTATTAGTAGTTTATTGATGTTAGATATTAATTGTAATAATTATTTTAGGTGGAGAAATTTTAACATTTGACCAATTGGCATTACGAGCCCCTACTGGTGCCAAAACTGTCTTAATGCAAGGAAGGAGAAACGCTCGTGAAGCTGTGAAACATTTTGGTCCAGCTCCTGGTGTTCCACACTCGCACAGCAAACCATTTGTACGATCCAAGGGACGCAAATTCGAGAGGGCACGTGGTCGCAGGCGTTCGTGCGGTTACAAGAAATAGATTATTGTTTTTGTAATTTAATGTGCAAGCTGTATGTTTACTGATTTTTATGGTAAATAAAGATTGTAAGGTACAGTTAATATTTAGTTTTTTTTGTTTTATTTAATGCTTAACCTGTTATGAATTCAATTTTATAGAAATAATTCTTGAGACTGCTTTATATTAAATACTACAGATTGTTTAAATTTTCAAGACACTGATGAGAAAATGTTTATTTGGACTAATTGACTAAAATATCCTGCCCTATAAATTATTTGGAAGAGTTATGAGAAATGGATTGTATAATACAAGAATTTTAAGCATTTTTCTAGTAATTTTTGTTTTTGAGGATCTTTACCTTAAATTTATGTTTTGATATGTATTTTAATTAATTTGTTTTATATCTCTTCTCAAATTTACAGGTGGAAAAACGTGACAATTTTTAAATTAAAACTTTAAAGTCTTTTTGGTGCCTAAGTATTATCTAAAGTTTAATGATTAACT